TGACCTGATCTGACCCGAAAATGCGGTTGGTGTCAAAAGATCCGGCTTGATTCAAAGGTCAGGTATGCCAAGCTTCAGCTCTCTGTCGCCGGCGTGTTCGGAGCTATCGCGAAAAAAAAACCTATGGAGGGGCGGCACCCCTCCCCCCTCGGCCGGCGAGGTGGCCCTCAGAGACCAGTACAGGGCCTGCAAAGGGCAGGATGAAACTTTTAGATGCCGACTTGGACCATCAGAGGCTAACGTGGGTCCTTACAGGCCAGTATGTGCCCTCAGAGGTCAGTGTGGGACCCTAAAATGCCGGCATAGGCCGGTGTTGGACTTCAGAGGCCAGCAGAAGGCCCTCAAAAACCAAAATGGGCCTCAGAGGCCAGCATCGGGTCTTCAGAATCCAGTGTAAGGCCCTCAGAGGCTAATGTGGGTCCTTACAGGCCAGCATCGGCCGTTAGAGGTCAGTGTGGGGCCCTAAAAGACCGGCATGGGCCGGCGTTGGACCCATAAGGCCAAGATGGACCCTCAGAGGCCGATGCGGACCCTTAGAGGCCGGCATCGGGTCTTCATAATTCAGTGCAGGGCCCTCAGAGGCACCTAAAGGTTAGGGTTAGTCTTGGGACCCCAGAGACAGAAATGAGGCCACCAGAGGCCGGTGTGAGGCCCTCAGACGCCGGCTGGGCCCTTGAGGCCGGTTTAGGGGCCCTCAAAATGTGGTCAAAGAGGTCAATGTGGGTTATCAGCGGTCATTGTGGGCGCTTGACCGCCACTGAAGGGTGCTCCGAGATCAGTGTAGGACCCTCAAAGACATGGTTTGGGAATTGGGAGCTGTTAATAGCTAGCGTGGGATTCTTGAGCCTCGTGACAATCGAATAAGGGCCAGAGCCCCATACGCCCATGGGGGCCCATTGGTTGTTTGGGAGGGCCAAATGATATGATGACCCCCCGATTAGCCTTTGGAGGGGGAAGGACATGGCCCTGATCCCCCCTCTGCGACCGCCACTGCACTGAAAGTGGAAGGGGGAGGGGCAGATTGCTGGCCCCCAGCCTGTTTAACACGCGCAGTGGAAGGGGGGGGGCGGATTTCGCCCACCCCCTCCTGTTTTTCGCCAATAACTCGCGCCACAAGCATAATATCAATGTGAAATTTCGGCTACCTGTCCAGAATTGAATTGCGGATCTTCTCGTGCAAAAAGTAAGAAAATCGGTTCACAATTTTTCTAGTAATAGCGGTGTAAAGTCAAACATCCTGCCGCCGCGGCGGCGCGGCGGCGCGGCGGCCGGCGCTAGCCGTTACGCGCCGCCTGAATTGTAGACTGTGCCGGGGCGGGACGGTTCCGTCTTTACATCGCGCTCCTTACCGCTGATTATATTAGATTCACGTCAAATTCGGTGAGAAGACTGAGAAATGTACAGGCAATCATATGGTTAAAGAATTTTGAAAATCGGCCGGTAACAACTTGAGTTATGAGTGTGTAAACACAAAATTGTGATTGCCGCGTTTCCCGCGTCGTCCGATGCCGCTTCAGCCGGCGACATCTTACCCTTAGCAGGCTTCTAACTGCCATATTTATTGTTGGATTATCTAGAAATTCACCATACATACTCATAACTGTTTGTTCTTTCGTATAGTGAAAGATTTAAAGAAATCGGCCGGTAACTTTTTGAGTTATTGGCGTGTAAACGCAAAAAAGTCGCTAATATGGCAGATTTGACCACATTTGACCTCATTTGACCTTGAAGATATTGACCTAGGGTCATGAAATCCACACACAACAGAGTTCCCCATGGCCCCCACCTACCCTCCAAATTTCGTCTTTCTAGCTCCACTGGGAGCTGAGATCTTAGGGGGGGGCGACATCCGCCCCCCCCTTCCACTGGGCGTAGTACTCGCAACCCTTCCACTGCGCGTGTTAAACCGAGCCGGGGGCACGGTCACCCTGGCCCCCAGCTAGTACGCCTTTGACGAACTATGCCGACCCCAAGCAGATCCGGTCAAGCGTTGGTCGCAGGTCGTTTGTATACGCATTCTCCTGCACCGTGCTTGTCTTATACCTTTTCAGTGCTCGCTGTCCCGCGCCTCGTATTCAACCTACAGTTGAATACCAAGGCCTATATACGGCCTTGGTATTCAACAAAATGCTGTCACCAGGACTCACAGTCTTGTCTCTGATATGGTTTCCTTCATTGAGTGAGGGAAATTGCGGTCAATAACGCTGTAGAAACACAAGGGAATCTTCAAAGGGCAAGCTGAATAGTTGTCAAGTTACCGGGTGGTAGGTACAGACAGACACTTAAGTCTGCAAAAAGTGGGGGGGGGGGGCAGTTAACATTGCTGGCCCCCCCACCTCCGAAAGTGGGGGGCCATGGCCCCCCCGGCCCCCCCCCCCTGTTCCTACGCCTATGGTGCCCCAGGCAGGCCTGTGGTGTCCCCGGGCCAAAGGGGGCGGGGGTCATAACCCATATGACCCACCATTGGATCCACCACTGGTCATTACTTGCAGACTGACTCATTTGACATCCATTGCAAAACAAGTCACAGTTGTATGTTTGTCACCGTGTTCCTTTATGCCCATTTTTATAGTGGGCACATCTCGACGACTGGGGGGGCAATTCTGTTGAGTGCGGGGGCATTTGCCCCCCCCAGTTAACATGTTAAAATAGGCCCTGCAAATTACCCACAGTCAGTCAAAGGGACTATCCCACCTTCTAAAATGTTGTTAAAACCAGTTAAATTGTGCCCGACATTATAGATTGGATGACCAGGAACACGGTTCTGGCATTTATTTTTCATTAAACATCTTAGGCTTCCCATATTCCAAACACAAACTTTCAAATATGTGACGTCACAGCCCAAAATTACCTCCTTCCCAAGGCCACATTACTGTCATAAAGCTGATTCTTTTTACTCTGTAGGCACCACAACAAAGTTCAGACCAAGTTTTAAGCGATTTTTCAACGAACAAACCCATTTAAATCAGAATGACTAAACGAGGTGACGTCACACTAACGGTCGCTCCATGTTGAAGATAGGGCCTTGTACAAGGCCCATTTTCAAATGAAGGGAACGAATTTCTTCAACACCAAGAGGCTGCGGGGGCTGCAACCTAGATAGATAGTGGTTTCTGAACCTCGCCGCAAACTTGGCTATCTCAACTCAAACCCCATGTTAAAGGGACCCTCCCACCTTCAAAAAAGTTAATGAATTGGCATGAAAGTGATGTCCCTTGGTTCAGAAAGAGCGGAAACGAATATCTACCAAATTTCACCGAAAAATATTCACTGGTTTTCAAGATATTAGGCTTTTACTTTTGTTTACTTTTTGGGATCTCCCCTGTTACTAGCGACTTTATTTGGAAGCAATAATTTGGCAGCCTTAAAGTGCGGCAGACGTTGCGCGCAAAGCAGCGTATGCCACCACGTGTTTACGATGGTTTTAGTCTAAGATTTAAAAATCGTTAGATCTCCGCTGACGTCACAAATTCTAAGGGGGCATTCCAATGCATTAGCCCCTTAGAATCCGAAAACTGCAAGTTTGAAATTCCATATCTTCGAATTAAAGCATTTTTCGATGTTGTGAGTGCCCAAACCGGTATTTGCAGGCCATGGCCACCAATTTGGCTATCTCAACTCAAAACTAATGTTAAGGTGGGAGTGTCCCTTTAAAGGTGGGATAGTCCCTTTAAGTCAACACTCAACGCTTCCTCTTTTTTTAATCCGGCGCCCATATTATATTAATGCCATTGTGTCGTCGGCTGCGCCACCTCTCAGCTCCTCTATCCTTCTGGTCCCCCTTTTACTCCAGCACCCCCTCCCCCTTCCTCAGTTTCCGGTGTGGTGGCGAAGCGTGCCAAAATAGCGCGTGCCCCCACCACAAACCTCTGCATGTGGCCATACTGCGGTGAGCGGCAATATTCACCACCTGACCTCACCTCCCACGAGGGGGGGGGGGAAGGGGGCACCTGGACCCGCCTCCGGGGCTGAGTCGGTTCTGGTGCTGCGGTCAGCAGCGGGATTCTCGCCCCCCCCCCTTCCCCACGGCTTTGTCATGGTGCTGACCTGGGGCCTGGGCGGGCTAGGAGGGGGGGGGGGGGCAGTGTGACCGGTGATCTCTGCAGCGCAGGCTACAGAGGGTATTGTGATGGTTTACATCAGGTCAGATCCTTCGGTAGGTAGGTATTCAATAAGCAGAAATATAAATAGTTATCGAAAGTTCGAAATACTCAGTACACTACTTACACATGTCAATTTTACCCGGAAATATTCCTCGGACGACGCCCCGAGCACAACCATATGACCTCCAGCACTTCTGCAGAGCACCGTGGGAAAGCACACAGCCTCACGCACTGTCCAAACTGTGCCATTTTGCACGGCTGTTCACAGCGCACATCTGTGACGCGCCGTATAGGTATACGTCGCCCCGGGTTGGTGGTGTCACGCCTGTCGCCAGCCGACAGTTGGGACTCAGTGGGAGGCGGCGCCGGCATCTGACACGAGCGCCGCGAAATTCAGCGAGTCGAACCAGGATGAAACGGTTATTTTTGTTGGATTAGGCTCTCTCAGTGCCTAAAAGCTCATCTTAGAGTCATGAGATGGGCTAATGAGTGCAGAGAGGCATAGGGCCAAGTCGACCACTGGCTGAAGGGCCGCAGCGGCTGAGTCATTTCCGTTACATTGGGACAGGATCGTATTCGCACCCCAAGAAAATGGTCGCCGGTGCACTCAGACGGTCACCTTACCAAATAGATCTTTCTATATGATGGCCTGGCCCACAGTACAGGCGCAACAATGTATTTATTACGGTGGCGAATATTTATAAGGACTTCAACTAGCTGCACGTCGTGCGCGACAATATAGCTATTGCCCCCCCCCCCCCGGGACTCACCGCCGAAAAAAGCCACTCCCAGTCCCCTACTATGCCCTGTACCAACCACGCGGTCCGCCCGGCCCCGGCGATAGGTAAACATGGTGACACTGCCCCTCTGCCGGGTCGCCGGCTGAGTGAGCGGTGAAAATAAACATCTCCCCGGCCGGCCGGCCGGCCGCGGGCTCCCTGCCGCCAGTCGCTCAGACGGTCTCCGAGTGTAGCCCCGGGCGGTGCGTGTCGCGCGGGGTCGGTCACCGGCGCGGATAGCCTGAGCGGCTGTGGCTTGGGCAGTGCGCAGAGCCAGAGCGATGGGTCGGACCGGCACACGGAGAACGGGAGGGCTGCTGCTGCTCGTGGTGATGCTGATAAACAGGTAAGTTATGATTCTCTTCCAATAGATTTGGAGCTTGGCATCAATTACTGTTGCTGTAGGACTAAACACAGCCGATCGACAGACAGCCATTAGAGATCCATTCTCCCATCAGGTCCTGGGCCCTTGGTCCCGCTAAATCCTACCCTCAGGGTGGTCGGTACCGGTACGTTCACTGCGTCCGATGTTGATGTGCCTAAAGCTGTCATTTCTCCGCAAATGATTGTTCCAATCGACTGGCACCTCACCCTAGTTTCGAGGTCAAAGTTGTAAGTACACTATATTGTGCTCGGTACGGATAGGTATTCATTATTCATAAGAGCCGCCGCATGCAGCTAGTGGCGAGTCTTTGTGGAACCTTTCCCGCGAAGCTGCATGTGGGACAAACCGAAGCGCAAATAGTGTTCTTTTTTTTGCTTTGTTTTGTTGGGACCATGCTCTTTCGGCCTGAAAAGACCACTGTAGAGCTACATGGGATATTAGGATAGGGCGTAGACAAGACATTGGGCTGTGCGGGCACCGACAGTGAGCCGCAGCGGCGAGACCGTCCCGGTGGGACCGGATTGCCCCGGCATAGGACACTGGACAGTCCGCCCGCCGCTCAAACGGTCACCCCGGAGACTGGAGAGGATTTTACCGGGTCCCGGTGTGGGCCCGGCCTCATCCACCGGTTGGCTGGTGGGCCAGTGGTGGCTGCTCTTCAGGATGGTGAGGACTGAGGACTGGGGACGGATGCGAAGAAGGTTTTAGGCCCTTGTAAGTTACAAGGGCAAAGCTTGTGAGTTCTGGCGCACTTTCCGTGCGTTGGCTATGATGCGACCCTGTATTGGGCTTATTGAGGTGGCATAGGCTGCGCAAACAGTTCTTGCACCAATTAGTTGATATTTTCATCCGAAAATTTAAGTCGCTGCTTTACAATCGATTGTCCTCAATTAAAATTGGCGAATCGTCTCGGGTGTTCATTCCATGCCGTTCAGAAAAGTAATCAACAGGCACCTGCGAATAACCGTCTTGGAGGACCATTGACCGTATCGTCGAGTGCATACCTAGGGTGGCCACTGGCAATGTAACACGGCCCGACCGGTGCTGACAGAAGTCACGTGACTTCCCCCTTGCCGGCTAATGTCACGTGACTGGTCGTGCTGACGTATAGCCCAGTCACGTGACCGGCCGTGCGGTGAGCGCCCGGTGTGCAGTGCAGTGTGCAGTTGCACGCCGCGGACGAGCTGTTGTGTTTACCCAGGCGCCGGCGGGTCGCTGCGGCCGGTGATTCAGGGGCAGTTTCGGGCCGGGCCGGGCCGGGCGGGGAGCACCATGACTGGCCGGTCGGACCTCGGGTGGTGCCACCTCGCGGGACTTCCCGTGATGAAGGCAGACGTGATCGCTGAATGTTGATGGTAAAAAGGCGATGACTGGTGAGGGTTCGATAGCAATGTTTATTGATGTCTGGATAACTTTCAACCTAGCAAAAAGATGTAGCGTGTCCAAAGTGATGCGAGTTTTTTTTTTGTGCATGAGGTTAGTTATAAGCAAACATCGTGTTTACTATGGTTGCATGTTATGAAAGCATGACAGCACGGACGATGTTTGCAGTCTTATGTAAGAACCTACTCACTTTGGATACATACCTATCCAATTGTTTTTCTAAACGTGCACTATGCGACGTTTTTAACTATTGTATTTTAGTCTGAACTCCTGTGAGCGGAATAAAGTTATACGATAAGCATTTCAACGCGGGTCTTTGGTCTGCAAGGTTACAGTGACATATCTGTTTCTGTGTTGCAGCCTGCAGTCTGCGTCCGCTCGTACCGATGCCGAGATATTCGACATGCTGGTGAAGGGCTACAAGCCGGAGGAAGCCCCCGACCGGTATGGCGCCAGTAAGTTAAAATGCTGGTCGCGGTGTACGGACTAGCTGCGTGAAATCGTCGATAATTAATTCGTCAAGTTGATAACCGTTTAATTTCAAATGCCGAGGTCACGACTCACCGATCAGCGATTTACCTAAGTGGAGTTGCAATTTCAACGTCAGTGTAAGTGTAAACGGTAAATTATTTTCTAGTCGTTTTCAACTTTATTTTCATTTTGCAATTTTATCCCGCAGGTACATATGTTCTGTTGACTGTACGTATTGTACTTGTAGACAGAACATGTCATCACTATTCACTGCACACACTAAACCCCTCACGCTTACCTACACATACCTAAGTAGCTACTTACACAGCACAGTAAAAGAGCTTAGGTATGCAACATGTAATAAGTGCATTTTATATTCGCGCTTCTGTTCCCAGATGCGGGGTACATCGAGGTGGGCGTCCGCGCCATGCTGGAGTCCATTGCCGTGGATGAGAAGGGCTCGGTGAGTGTTGTGCCTCTATACCTACCTACTAATTTTCCAATAGTATCTACCTACACTCCGCTGGTGAAGTTCCTCCCTCCCTTCCGCCGTGTTTATATTTTTGTTTGCGTAAAACGACAAGTGAACCATCGTGCTAGTGCGACATGAACCTAAAACCTTTTCTGTTAAAGTCGGAAAATACTTCGGCGAAGTAGACATGCAATATGCATGCTAAACCACGTCAATGTCAGCCGTTAACATTATAGAAAACAAAATTTGCAACGCACCTACATGCAGTAGATTTCGAGGGTAACGCCGTTGCTTGAAAGTTTCCAAAGATGGCGTATCATAATAAGGACAAATAAAGGGCAACTTGTCATGCTCGCGACATAGCCGATCACTTGCCGTGGTCAACGGTAGTGTTGTCAACCAACGATGCGCACTTGTCCCATCCTAGCGACCAACGAGACATGAGCAGACGACTGTCGGCAGTCATAGTAGCTTTATTTGCACCGCGATGGTCGGAAGTCGCCTGCGAGATGCCTGTTTTGTTTATTGTTCCTCTGCCCTCCCCCTCGTCCTCGTGCTGTGCCACGAGGGACTGTCGCCTCTGTCCCGACAAGGGCCCCCTGCTGCCCAGTGTCCCAGTGTCCGTGGTAGGAGATCTTCATTCTTCAAGCTGTTTATTGGAAGCTCAATTGCGGTTCGCCGTACCTATTGAGTCATGTTTTTTTTTGTAACCACTTCGTTCCACTTCGTTCCACTTCGTTCCACTTCTTTACTGGCATTTGTTGGGCTTGAGCCTTGAGATTCGTCTTATAAATCTTATTATGTGTTCCTGTATTACTAGGATTATAAAAAGAAACGGTACAAACTACGAACTGCCCTTAGACAATCGTTCTAAACGCTTCTGATGCTTAGATTGCATATTTTTTTCGTCTGACAAAGACGGTTATTTTTTTTCTGCCGTAATGATCTATAGCAGTCAATACTCACACATCAATAAAGTAACGTCTACATTTCCCTACAGCATCTGTGCTTAATCAGTTGTCAAATTACAATAACATGCCTGATTTTGTCTCAAATATAACGATTATACCTAAAATTATTGGTGAGAAACGTAAACACTGATGAAACACCAATGCAATATAAGCTGCATGACAGCGGATGGATGTTGCCATGTCTCCTGAGTGTAGCAACATGTCTCAATGTCTAACAACGAGCCGTAAGTTGAATTGCCGGGCGTCTAGAGACCGGTGTCGTCAGCCGGTTGGCAGATGTTGGGACAGACGCACCACACCCAGTTGACGAGTGACGAGACGACTGACGAGTGACAAGAGTTTGAGCGGCCGGAAACTCACACCGACAAACTGCTGTATCTTCAGCAGCCCGCAAAGAGTGCCGTGTAAATGTTTGAATGTTTGAATGTTTATGTTTGAATTGTTGTAAATCTTTGTTTGAATGTTGTGTTTGAATGTTTGAATTGTTGTAAATGTTTGAACTCACACCGACAAACTGCTGTATCTTCAGCAGCCCGCAAAGAGTGCCGTGTAAATGTTTGAATATCTTTAGCTCAATCCGAGTGAGACACACTTGGAATCCTGTTTGAGCGGCGAGCTGTCACGTCGGGACAATCTCTTGTCAATCTCCGCTGCGGCTCACCAGTCAGTGGTCCGTTCAGACTCAGTTCTGCCTCAGAACCATCTATTCAGTTCCTTAGAAAAGGTCTCCATTCTTTTCTTTTTTGTTATCCCGTAGATCAAAGGTCTTATATAAGACCCAAGGCCGAGAAGGCTTGATTCCAAAAACAAAAAATAGCAAAGAAGGAAAAGAGCACTGCGGTAGCTCTTACTGCCGGCACCAGACATGTCAATAGCAGCCCAGGGTATATAGAACAACGGGTACACCAACGACGCGGAAAGCGCCCATTTTACCTGGATGATGTACATGGAAGGTGATATATTTTTTGAATATGGAATGAATAGGATATTCCATTCTGACGAGTAAAGCCAAATTCATAAAGCAGTTATTTTTAAATTATATGAACCAGAAATAACATACTAACCATAGTTTAAAACTTAGCATAAAGATAGTTGAAAAGCCTATAGTTGATACTAAGATGGAAGGAATCTATGGAAGGCGGAAATGGCGCAGCTGTTTCATTCTTAAAATGTGTTCGCAAGCAGGATTTACGTGACGCTAGCGACATCTATTAATGTAATTAGGGACGCTCATTGGCTGATCGCGTCCGTGAGCAGTATCGCTAACTGACGCTAGTACAGGGTTGAGGCAATGTGCGCATGCGCAGGAACTAGTGCTCTCATGAAGGGGCTTTTGGTACCTCGGGCAGCGCCCAATGCTTTTTGGACCTGTTATGGCCTCCGCATCGAAAAATGCTAGATAAAAAGGTTGTAGAGGAAGCTTGAGGCTACCTTTCCCCACAATAATATTGGCACTTTATCTTTTTACTTACGTGTGGGGCTCGCTTGAAAAAGGTCGATTTAACATGCAAACCCTATGGGGTAGTAGTTTTTGAGCGCCCATTTGGCCTAATGCTACCAACTGTTACTGGCTACCCCTGATAGCAGCCAGTACCTACAAATACATCCGTAAGCTTTCCGACGGCGACATACCCCAGCGTTTGACCTCTTACCTGTACCACTGACCTCTGTGCCCCAGGCGGTGACCTTCCAGTGCCTATAGGGGCATTCCACGTCAAATCAAACACCGAAATCCGTCATCCCCTTCGATTTTTCTGAAAATTTGTAGGCAGACTGGGCATGGTTCAAAACTGAGTTACGTGTAATATTTTCGAAATTTGATAACGTATCGCCGAGATATAGGTCATCGAATATAGCCAAAAATGCCACACATCATTTTTTTAAATGCTTATAACTCTGGTTCCTTTTCTGGTATCAAAATGATATTAACAGGGTCTTGTAGGCAATTGATAAGGCTTTGATTTTTAATTATAAAATTAAATTGAAGTGACCTTGAATTGCATTTGACCTTGAATTAAAACAGAAAAATTTAAATAGCAAAAAACACGCCACCTTCGATTTGAGTAATTTTTACATATTATGTCCGTCACAATGTTCCTAACCATCTGTGAAAAAATTGGAGTAGGCCATTCATAACTTCCGCGGCAAACGCCGTTTTCATGCATCAACATCACGCAACCGCGCGTGACCTTGAAAGACAGAGTCAAGACATGCTTGCTTGTGTACACTTTCTGAAATGAATGATTGCTGATTAGTGATATCCCAAACTCTGCGAGAATGGAAATGCATAGTCATCGAAGTCAAGCATTCACGTTCCATTGTAAAAGTGTCTCAGGCAAACGGTATTTTGCGGTGAATTTTGAGCCGTGTGGAAATGCATCATGAAATAAATTCAACGAAAACATTATCACGCAACGATATCTTCACGTCTTTTGATCTTCACTATACGAAAGAACATACATTTTTGAGTATGTATGGGGAATTTCTAGTTAATCCGATAATAAATATGGCAGTTAGAGTCCTGCTAAGAGTAACATGTCGCCGGCTGAGGCGGGATCGGCCGACGCGGGAAACGCAGCAGTCACAGTTTTGTGTTTACACGTTCATATTTCAATTGTTTACCAACCTATTTTCAGAATTCTTTCACCATAAGATTGCCTGTACATTTCTTAGTCTTCTCACAAAATTTGACGCGAATCGAACGTAATCAGCGGTAAGGAGCGCGATGTAAAGACGGAACCGTTCCGTTCCGTCCCGGCACAGTCTACAATTCAGGCGGCGCGTAGCGGTCGGCGCCGGCTGCCGAGTCGCCGCGTCGCCGCGGCGACAGGATGTTCACTTTACACCGCTATTACTAGAACCGTTGTGAACCGATTTTCTTATTGCTTGCACGATGAGATGTGCAATTCAATTCTGGACAGGTAGCCATAAGTAATTTCGCATCAATAAATATTGATGCGATATATTGATATTATGAGATAATAGCCATAATATTGATATTATGAGATATTGGCGAAAAACAGGAGGGGTGGGGCGAAATTCACTCTTCCCCCTCCACTGCGCGTGCTAACATACGTTTGCATATGTGCCATTTTCTTCAAAAGTTATGAATGGCCCACTCTAATTTTTTCACAGGTTGTTAAGAATATGGTAGGCAATAAAATATATGAAAATGAGCCAAATCGAAGGTGGCGTGTTTTTTGCTATTTCAATTTTTGTGCTTAAGAACAGAGTTAAGCAAATTTCAAGGTCATATATTTAAGTCGATGCAATTCTAAACAAATGCTTAAGAAATTACCTAAACAGTAAGGTTTATTTCATTCAAATCAAACAAGTACAACCAAAGTTATGGTCGTTCAAAAATATAAAGATGCAACATTTTGTAAAAATTTGATGCCCTATAGGATTTAGAAGACCTGTGGTCAGAATGTGCAAAAAACATCAATGTAATGTCCGGGGCGACACAGGAACTCGCTCACAAATTTATAATGAAATCGCTGATGGTAAGGTGCAAAACAGCCGATTTTTGTTCGATTTGACGTGGAATGCCCCTATAGCGTCTGACCTCTGACCTCTGTTTCCAGGCGGTGACGTTCCAGTGTCTCCAGCGGTTGACGTGGGACGACATTCGTCTGAGGTATCGTTCAGCCCCAGCGGCGGGCGGACTCGTCATCTCACACGCCACCGCAGGTAAGGAAAGAAGGGCAGTCGGCAACGCTGGAGCCTCGAGCTGAAGTCTTTCCTTGGATATCAAAAGCCATTGTTGAAATTAAATGCATTTGGTATTCGGAATTTTGGCATAGGGTAGAGCTGGGTCGGGACGGTCAGTGCCGTTGATCATCTGGGACTATACGGCAGAATGTTTCATTGTTGAAAAACTGTAGGTTAACGTGTAAAACGTTAATTTCATAAATTCGTTTTTGAAATTTTCATAAATTCGTTTTTGGGTTTAATTTCATAAACCCATTAGCACTTAATTTCATAACTTTCATTGGCTTTTGGAGTCGTGTTCACCGTTCAGCCTTATCAGACATGTGCATGGATCCGAGAAAATGGATCTGGGATCTGACCTCACGGATTCTGATCTCGGATCCGAGGGGATCATAGATCCAGCTCTTTGATTTATGGAGAGATCCGTATGGATCATAGATCCGAGTCTGATTTTTTGCTTGAGATCCATTGATATCATAGATCCTCACTTTTTGTCAACGCATAATAAAAGATCTTGTTGCAACTTGCAACTCGCAAACGTTACGTTTAGTGATTTTATGTGATTGCACGTCAAAATCCATAGGTTTGTAGCACTTATTGGCTTAGAAACACTTGGAAACGTTCCAAATGCTGCTAATGGCGGGATCCATTTAAATCATATATCTTCGCTCTTGGTTTATCGTCAGATCCAATGAGATAATAGATCCATGAATTTTTTCACGACGGATTCGGTGGGATCATGGATCCTAGCTTGCAGTTTGCTCCGAGATCCATTGAGATCATATATCCATTACTCGGATCCATGCTTATGTCTGGGCCTTCTGCTCCTAACATGTCAATGTTGCTGTTCTCAGGGGTGCCGACTGCGCCCCGGATATGGCTGCCGTCGCTGATGTACCCGCGAGCGCTGATGGTCGACTTCGATAACTCCATGGATAACTCGTTTTTGGTTCGACCAAATGGCACCATCACCTGGCAAAGAAGGTATTTCGAACCATTAAAAGACGGCCTTTTGGTGACAAACGAGTGAGCGCATTTGTGGGTCCTGTTCGTGCGGCGTGCGCACATGCAAAGCGAGACTTTCCACCTGGCTTGTTCAGGCCACTACATATGCCTAGTTATCGGACACTCGGTCCGCTTGTGCTTGCATTTTCCGGCCGAAAAACGAATTTTGCGCTCCGCGCTCCCTTTCGATGTCACTGTAATAAAGTATTGATTGACGCTGCTTACTTTCAGGGTCCACGTGATGGTGCCTTGTGAAATGCAGCTGGATTCGTTTCCATGGGATGAAAACTCGTGTGTCTTCACGATTCGGCAAGGTATGCGTGAATGACAGTTGTATTTATATCACCCTGACACCAAACAATTGACGATAGGCAAGCATAGGCTGGGGAGGATCTCTTTCGCCTTTATCCGAAGTGTTAACATTCGATATGTCTGTAATAAATAAATGGTCCTAATTATTATTTTTACTTTCGAATTGGTGGTCGTTGTAGCTTTTATTATTAGGTATTAGTGTTTCGTAAGACGTATGCTGTCTCTCAGACTGGTTGGTCCTATCACGCCAGACATATGAAAACAGACGAAATCCTATCACGTAAAACAGACAGCCACGTGATAGTCTACGGTCAATCACGATAGGTGGTCATGGGCCAATGTGTCGAACAGCCAGCCCTCAGGAGCCGCCGTGGTATAAACTGTGTGCCACCTCCCCCACCCCCTCCCCCGCCCCGCAGACCTGGACGGGGAGGTGCTGATGCTCAACTGGACCAGGGTAGCCGGACGGCCCGTGCAGGCCGGACCGCACTTCAGCGTCACCAGCTTCGAGCTCACCTCTCTCGGCGTATCGTCCTACACCGTCTCACCCAACGACATCACAGGTCAGCGGTGACGTCAGTGTGTGACGTCAGTGGTTCGTCAGTGGTTCGTCAGCGTGTGACGTCAGTTAGTTGCATAGGTTAGGAATTCATAACATCGCCGTTGTTATGGATTCTATCGACTCATTCACCAAGGCTTCCACTCAGCTCAGCGAGAAGATGAAATGTCATGAATTTAAGTGCATGTCGAAGTACAGCTGTCCTTGATATCGGATGTTATTTTTGTCGCTTAATAACGATTTAGCTATTAGTCACCGACAGGGGCGGATCCAGAAAATCTCCAAGGGAGGGGCCATTAGAAACCAGGAGGCCCCCCCCATAATCCCACCTGTTGGAGGCCCCATCTTCCCACTTGTTGGCCCCCCCCCAAAAAAAAAACTGCGTCTATTGAGCTTATCTAGCTGTTCAGGCAACATCTCAACATCTGTGCAGGCTTGGAGGCCCTCTGTGCAGGTTAGGAGGCCCTGTAAAAGTGGTCATCTCTGTGAGTATAAGAGACCTCCAAGTTATGAAAAGCTTTACCAATCTTCTAACAAAGAAGTCTTCTCAGCTAGTCTTCTAAGAAATAACAAAGTGGGTAGGTTAAAAAAAAACTCATCGGATTTCGGCCACTTTATTTTCAGGAGGCCCCCTTTTCAGCTTTTTAACTTTTTAACTTTTTATTTTATTTTTGAAAAAATCGGCCAAGGGGGGGCCATGGCCCCCATGCCCCCCCCCCTTGTATCCGCGCCTGGTCACCGAAATGTCGATTACTTAGAGCTTGAGTATCACCATATAAATTGCACCTTTCCCTGTTTTCTAGATGTTATTCATGAAGTGCATGTGTATTGCTTGAACGCCGACTCTACGTTCCAGGCGAATCATTACGCTCCAAGTCGCTGGTGATGCGAGTGACGTTGAAGCGGCAGTCCGATTATTACGTCATCAATGACGTCATACCCACCTCGATACTGGTGGTGGCCGCCTACATGACGTTCTGGCTCCCTCCAGAGGGTAGGTTAAACGGGGAATGTGCATTGGTGTGCGGTTCTCTGGCAGTGCTGATGGCTCACGCTCACTCCTTCTCTCCCCTCTGGCTCCTTCTTAATTCTATGTGCTAATGGTTCGCTCACCCTCTCTCTCTCTCCCCCTCTCTCTCTCTCTCTCTCTCTCTCTTTCTCTCTTTCTCTCGTCCTCTCTCAGCGTTGATGGCTCACTCTGCCCCCCCCTCTCTCCCTCAGCGGTGATGGCTCGCTAACCTCCCCCTCCCCCTCTCTTCCTCAGCGGTGATGGTTCGCTAACTCCCCTCTCTCGCTCTCTCTCAGCGGTGATGGTGCGCTCTTTGGTCAGCTCCTTCATGCTGCTGGCCTGTTTCCTAGTATCGGCCATCACCGGTAGGGCGGCGCCACTGGCCACCTCGCTGACGGCACTGAACGTGTGGAACCTGGTGTGTCTGTTGCTGCTGCTGTGGCCGCTGGTGCAGAGTCTGGTCGTGTACCACATGTCCCGGAGGCCGTCCGGAGGCGGCGGCAGCGGCTCCGGAGAGAGTGGAGGGGTCGGCGCTCTGCCCAAACTGATGGAGCTCAACGGGAACGGAGAGGCAGACGTGGAGGTGAGAGAAGTGAAGAAACGGGATTGGGAGAATGTATCAAGACTACCGACTATGTGAGAGAATACGCTGCGCAGCTGTCGTTATTCACGTACGCAAAAGTTTTTTATCGATGTTTGTACCAAAACAGGGTTATGATATTCATTTACTCAGATAATGAGCATCGGAAAAATGCGTCAAATGCCAGTAAAATACCTCAGTGGGACTACGACATGACTACACTCTACAGCGCTGACGAACTCTGCCCGGTGTTCCCCGGTTCCAGGCCATCAGCCCGGACCCGTCGCTGCCGCCGCCTCCGGCCGAGGCTGAGCTGGGCCCGCTGCCGCCGCGCCCCGGTCTGCGTCCTCAGATGGTGGACGTCGTCAGCCGGGTGCTCTACCTGCTGGCCTTCGTCGTCACGGCCATTGTGTTCGGTGTGCTCTACTCGTGAGCCTGGAGGTGGGAGAGGTGCGGGGGTGACGGAACGGTGGCGTGTTTCGTGAGAGCGGCTCAGGAGGTGGAGCAGTGGTACCTATGGTGTAGCCGTGTAGGATGGTGAGTGTGGACTGAGGAAATCAGCGAGGAAGTCTGGACGCTGGAGAGAGATCAGTGACACAGTGAAGGTATGACGAACGTGTGTACATGTGTACATAGGTGGCTATTCAGTAGTCATTATAGATATGTTGAACGGTGACAACAATTTGCAACATGTTTCGATGGCCTGTCGGTAATACTCAGATCAGCCACAGCGTTTACATACATTTTTAAACAATATGCAACGAAGAGAAAAAAATGGTGTTCCAGTTTGGGTGTGCCTTTTTATAATATGGAGTTAGTGCCAAATTGATGTGTGTGATGTGAGCATTAATATGTCAAACGCTAGCGTACACGATACCGATTGAATGCGTAATAATATGCCGGAGTGTGATTTATAATAAGATATATATGTAGCCTAAAAAAGGCGCTGAAGCGGTTATTCAGGCTCTGTTGACTTGGTTTATCAGCTCCCAGTAGTCAAGATATTTATGTAATAAATAGTTTGACCCGAGATGGGGACTTCTTTGATCGATTCGCTGGTCCGGCACATGTCACTGACAGAATGTGACAAATTTCCGCATAGTTCCAGACGTTATCATGGTAGCCAGAAGCCTTATACGCTGGAGGCTTTCAGGCCTTACGGAAAAAAGTTCGTATGTAGTAAACACTTATCGCTACAAAACACGAGCCATATTTATTGCACAACAACAATAACGGAGACACTGCATGGCGACCAGCACAGGCCGCACAGGCTGAGAAAACAATACCTCATAATCACGTGACATCTCTATCCGGCCGTACGTCTGGTCATGTGACTCGGGCCAGCACGGGAAGCGCCGGAGATCCCCATCTGCCCCTGTTCCTCCTGGAAGAGACGCTAGCGCCGCCAGTCACACATGGAACATCGGCACTGGACACGGACCATTCGCGCCGGCCGCGCAGAGGCTACGTCTGCGGCGTGGGGTCAGCGTTCGCCGGCGGCGCGGGGGTCTGGACCGACACCGGGTGGACGGCGGGCACCTCTGTGGGCGCCTCCTTCCTCCTGCCGCCGCGGATCCAGCCGCGGAACAGCCGCGACGACACGGACGAGTCCGACGGCAGGTCGTTCTCGACATCGCTGCGCTCCTCGGGGATGTCGGCCGGCTTGGAGGCCAGGATCTGCGCGGCGCGACTGCGCATCGACGACACCTGTTTGACGAGGGAGCGGCGCCGGCCGACCGCCGGCCGACGGTCGGTCGGCTGCTCGGCGATCAGGTTGTTCTCGTACTCGCTGAGCACTAGGTAGTTCTCCACCTTGTTGCAGGACGTGATGTCGCCCTGCAGCAGGTTCAGCTCGAGCTCGATGTCCTCGAACAGGGCGTCGGGCAGGTCCATGTCGGCGATGCCCTCCTCCGAGATGCAGGTCAGCTCCTGCTTGCGCAGCTCGTGGCTGCTGTTGACGGCCGCCACCCTCTGCTTCAGCAGGTTCAGCACACGCTCATCCACATCAGGCAGCGAGTCGGCCCGGTCCCGGGGCGTCTCTGGCGGCTCTGCGCGCGCCTCGCCGCCGGGCGCCGGCTCGTGACGGTGCCGGTGCGCCCGCCGACGGCCCCGCCGCCGGTGGAACGCGATCAGGAAGATGCTGATGCTGCCGATGACGACGAAAGTGGCGCTGAAGTAGTAGCCCGCCTTGCCGCCCACGGCGACGTTGATGTACCCTGCAGACCAGAGATAAACGTCAAATGAGAACCTGGTAGAGTCACCACCTGAGACGGTCTGTGAAAATTCGGATTCAATGCCGAATAGGGAAGAGTATCTATTGGCAAAAGTTCGATGCCCTTTCATCTGGAAGTCATGTACCACGTGTGCACCGTTTAGTCCTGTTAGTGCCCAAAACTTATGCCGAAGTAATAAGTGAACCACTACATTTTAATCCAGCACGATTTCACTGGAAACGGGACATCGATTTCAATCGACACACGAACTCACATAGACCTTTGTGTACCAAAGTCTGTGCCTCAGGTATACCGAGGTCTGTGGAACTGACGATGCCCTCTCCCCCGTCAAGCATTGCCCCACTCTCACCTGTGACCGGCACGCCTATGACCATGGGCAGCGCTTGGCTGCCCTGGACGAAGCCCCACGTCTTGGCGAAGTTCCTCGCGCGCACCTTCTCGTAGGTGCACATCTTGAGGCTGTACTGGTAGCCGCCGTAGAAGAGGCCGTACAGCCAGGCGAAGAGCACGTAGCCGCTGTAGCCGCGTACGGCGGGAAGCGCCAGCTGGCAGGCGCCGCAGAGGAAGGACGAGGCCTGGCACAGGTACTGTCGGCTGATGCGACACTCCTGGCGCCACAGGGGAAGTGGTGGAGACAGTTACTAAAACACAGAGGTGTCAGAGGTCGTCCTAACAGAGCGCAGAACAGGGAGAAACCAGGATTTAGTCGGATATCAAAGTCATTTTATTCATTAAGACCACGAAACTTTACCCTACCACGAATGACGAAGCTTCACGACCAAGAAACCCAGCCCTTCTTGTACCTTCATCCTGCATACCCAATGGCCCAGCATAACGATAGGACGGGCACACTGGACGTACGCAAACACACAGAGTGTTGCTGTATATTTTTGTCTGTTTACTGATGGACCTCTCGTCCCAGCTGCCAGTGGTGAGTTATTGGACCGCCGTCTCCGTCCACAAACACAGCATCCGAGTGGTAACAGGCCACATATCGGTGACGCAACAAACGGACCGAATGGTCAGTGGACCTGCAGAACCCACCGTCCATACCTTCCTGACCCACTATCAGTAGAGCAATGGAAATCATTTGAAGATAGATGTCTCATAGGTCTTCCAAAGAGCCCGTATTGCACTTCCCGGGGCATTTTTAGCAATAACATCGCTCATAGGTAGGTATTATCGTGACAGAACTATTTATTTGTCATTCTTCATCGCTGACAAGGTAATTGTCTCACCTGGTTATTTCTGACGACGACAAACCCGAAGGCCCAGCAGCCGAGGGCCCAGCCGAGGCCGAGGTAGGTCTGGAGCAGCAGCACCGAGCCCTCACTCAGCCCGTCCTGCTGCGCCTGGTGGGCCTGCCGCGCAGAGGGCAGCACAGTCGGTGACAAGCTTATCACAGGTGGCGCTCGGCACTCGTCGGCAGAGGGCGGGCAGGTTCACAACGCTCCCAGCCGTAACTTCACTGTGGTGAACAGTAGCGGCGGAACACCTTCAATTACGGGGGGGGGGGGGGCACTGCTGACTTTTGGCCCCATTCTTTCCATGCAACGCCCATAGGGCTAATGTTAAAATGCCAAAATCAAAGGGGGGCACGGTGCCCCGGTGCCCTCCCCGTTTCGCCGCCTATGTTGGTGAATCCTCCTCTTTGAACGGACATGATGTATTTATCGATAAAATAGGTATTCATAAGTATCAGAGTAAAAGATAATTACTAAATTGTATGTAAGAAAAGTTTCGAGTTACAACCATCCTACCCAGTAGGTACCCACACATCCAGCGAAGCAAAAGTGCCGTTAACAGGTCCGTACCGCAGTCTGTACATATGTAAGTACCAACGGACTGGACGTCGATTTGTTTCGTCGGCATCCGTACACTCACCATGTAAATGAGCGGGGAGTGGAGTCCCACGGAGCTGAGGCTGGCAGACACCAGCAGGATGCGCACCGTCTGCGACTTCAGCATGGAACAGTCGAAAAACGGCGGCTTCTCGTCCACCTTATTCTTACCCTTTACCTGCAATTATATTGGAACGCTCATTGAGACATTTAGCAGTAGCGACCTGGAATAGGTGCAGCAACCCGGAAAGCTACTGTTGTAATTTTGCTTAAAAATGACACGGTGAAAGGGAGCCAGAATCAGGGCCTATTTTAACATGTTAACTGGGGGGGGGGGGGGGGGGGGCAAATGCCCCCGCACTCAACAGAATTGCCCCCTAGTCGTCGAGATTTGCCCACTATAAAAATGGACATAAAGGAACAGGGTGACAAACATACTACGTAACTACTGTGACTTGTTTTGCAATGGATGTCAAATGAGTCAGTCTGTAAGTAATGACCAGTGGTGTATCTAAGGGTGGGTCATATGGGTCATGACCCCCCACCCTCTTGGGGCCCGGGGACACCACAGGCCTGCCAGGGGCACCACCGGCCTGTCAGGGGCACCACAGGCCTGTTGGGAGCACCATCAACCTAGCAAGAGCACCATAGGTCTGCCAGGGGCACCACAGACCTGCCAGGGCAGGGGCACCACCTTGGGCCTGTCAGGGGTACCACCACAGGCCCGCCAGGGGCACCATAGGCCGAGCAAGGGCGCCACGGACCTGTCAGGGGCACCAGAGGCCTAGTATGGACAGCACATGCCTGGCAGGGACACCACCGGCCTCGCAGGGACTGGGACACCTTGGGCCTGTTAGTGGCACCACGTGCCTGTCGGGGACACTCCAGGCTTGTCAGGAGCACCACAGTCCTGTCAGGGCCCAGGGGCACCACCGGCCTCACGTGGACACCACCGGCCTCGCAAAGGCATCATGGGCCTGTCAGGGGCATCACGGGCCTGTCGTTGGAACTTCAGGCTTGTCAGGGGCACCACAGTTCTTTCAGATGCACCGGCGGCCTAGCACCATGGCACCATGTTTGGCCGAGGTCGCGATTCGGCGTATGTCGCCTCGCATTAGCCGCGCGTTTGCAGTCTTTTCGTGGTTTCAAACGTTCAAACATGGGATATGATGTTGCTCCCATGCATTAGGGTGGATGTCAAGATCACCGTAAGGTCAGGTCAGATCATTTACCTTTGATGACCTCGGTTCACATTTTCGAGTTTTATATGTTTCTAGGCTAGTTTTTGGAGCTGAATTCGAATTAAGCAACCATTTGACCATTTACGAAGTAGTTTTGGTGCCTTCGTAACATGTTACGAAGCTGTCAGAGGCGGTTGCCACCTACTACGAATACCCGGCAAAACCCTTACTGGTTGACCTGACCTGACCTGACCTGGCCTACATGCATGAAGACATCATCTATGATCATAAGTAACATGATATTCGTGATCAGCACCCCGAAAAACCATAGCAGCCACTCTTTACGACGCTCTAACAGGTCCCGATTTTCCCGACTTTTGGGTCAATGACCTGACCTGGAAGGTCAACCGATGACCTAGGACCTTAAAATTGGGTATAATCGGCTTCCTTTCATCACGGGCAACACGGTCGTTTTTCCGCGAAGCTCTAGCTCGATCAGGGGCCAACGGACCCTCCCCCCCCTATACGCTCGCTACTGGAAACACCAATACGGGCGAGGGTTAGTGGATTATTAAAGACAATTTTCCAGGTTGCCCCCCAGTCAAATTCCCTTAAAATAGGCTCTGGCCAGAATAGTGGCAAAACACTTTTTGCGAGGTCAGTCACTATTGCACTTAATGGCTAGCATTGTCGGTTCTGAGCGAGAACATTTAAATGGAAGCCGATTTAAAAAGCCAGGACTACCCACCTTTTTCTTGGAATTCTTCAGATGTA